AGTATGTACAGTACATAGATGCATGCGTAGTAGGGTAGATTTTGACATTTTTTTTAATTTCTAAAGATATTGTTAAACCTCTGAATTTCTGTTAAATTTACATATGTATTGACTAATTTATTTACGGTTTTTAACGGTGATTGACCTGTAGTTGTAGTGACGGACTAAGCTTGCTGCCGAGTGTGCAACGTTACCGACAGTGGTATCTGTCAATCTGTGGGTAAGGAAGGATTTGAAAAGGAAAAATGAAAATTTTCGGAAAATTATTTCATAACGGAAAAAGAAAAAAGAAGAGACGCGATTCAAAAAGGAATTCAGTGAAAAAGAGAAGCAATGTGACTAGTATATCTCATGACAACTTCCTCCTGGCTGGAAACCAAACAAGAAGACATAAACGAAGACACAGGGTAAGTAAATTATTAATGTACATATGTAAAAAAATAATTGAGAATACGAATTTATAGAGGTTTTAAATCATTTTTTTCAATAAGAAATTCATATTTTTCAAGTCAAAATTTTATGACTAATTTCTTTACTCTAACATGTTACATATGTAATATATACAAAATTTTTATATTTTTAAAAATTAAAAACAAACGAAACATTTATACATACTTTTGAAAAATAACCACGAACATTGTGCATTTACGTATATTATTTTTATGTCTATAAATGAAATAATTGAGTTTGTTTTTTATTGTCAGACATTAATTTTTAAGAATAAAGGACACTTTTTCTATTGTACATACATACCACATACTACAAGTCTACAGTGGCGTTCTATAATGCATTTCAATAAAAAAGTTTTTGTGTACTTGTTATATTATGGACGAAACAGGATACTTATTTAGCTGAGCGGAAAAAAGTTTAATTTCTGGAAATTATCTATCAAAAATACTATTTTAAATCGGTTCGTGACTTAAAGCCATCGCTGAGGACACACACAAAGAAAAGCGCCACTTTGACTGGAATATGACACACCTCTCGAGCAGCTGGAATGTGTCGGCGTGGCTCAGGTACCAGGCTTTTGTGTCCTTTATTCTAATTATCCCCTAGATTCGCAGGTAGCACGTAATATTTGACGCAAAATGGGACAAGTGTAGCACAAGTTAAAAGTGAAAGTGGTTTATCTTAAATAATCACGATACACAAAAATAAAACTGAAATATATACATATACCTTGAAAAATAAATTGACGTTTATTCCACTATTTACGCCTGATTTAAATAAAAAAAAAAAAACTAATTTCAGTTGAATACAATAAATATTATAATATTGATTTCAAAATAATTAACTTAAAATACTTAAATAATCGAATCGTGTACCTAACCTAAAACACATGCTTTTACTTAACGAACTAAGCACTGTTTATAGTGGTCTGATGTAATTATTGCTTATTTTACGTCTACACCAATTTAGCTACTTTGAGCATCTTGTACTGGACCGTTCATGCTACGTGCATTCATCGTGGTTTATGCGCACGTGCGTCAGGTAGTACAAACTAACTTTCACATAACGGGTGTCTCAATCGAAACAGCCGTGGAGTTTTCATCGTGAAATTACTGAAAATAATATCTATGTCATCATAAGCTATGTACATTTGAGAAAAAAAGAAAAATACATCCTCACAAATGTATATAGTAAGACGATACAACAGTGTATATAAGGATAACTTTGTATTTTCAATTCTACATTATCTGTCCTGCTATTTCAAATAGTTTAAAGTTTAAAGAAAAAAGAATTTTGAAATAATTTATTTGACTATAAAACAAAATTACTTTACTTAAGAGTTGTAAGAAAGTATGAAGAATTCTGTGTCCTTTAGTGAGAATTCTATCAAACTGAAAAGGATAGTCCACTTATAATTAAACCACGAATACATGTTTATGCATAGACGGTATGATTATCTCAAACTCAGCATAGTGAAAAGGTTTAAACAGCCCATTCTACGATGTAAAATCTGATAGATAGAACATTCCATACAGTAATCAACCATCTCCTTTGTTTCTAGTTTCTATAAATTAACAAAGAAAAATCTATATTTACATGTAAGTATACACGTTGGCAATCTTACCACCTCCCACTCAAGTTTACGGCTCGAGATCGGGCCCATCACTAGTGAAGCCGAAAACCGGTGCGCAGACACGCGCATGCTGTGCGCTCCCCCCACCGCCCCACCACACTCCCCGGTCCCCTTGCGCAGGCTCTGCCGCCGCTCCCCACCATACCCCCACTCCTCGCGACACGTTCACTCGAGCAAGCTCTCCCGTCTCCGTACTCTTCCATGCAGCCGCCAAGCCCGTTTCTCATCCGATTCGCGTCGACCTGCTCGCTTGCCTGCTATAACGAAGCCACGCTCGTGTAGCTACGGGCCGATCCTCGGGACAAGAGAGAATTTCTTCTCGACTTCCCCGATGCGTGTAGCCTTGCACTTTTCGGATTTTTACCGTCATCCGTTTCGACTCGCTCGTCGTTGTCGTCGTCGGCCGCGTACAACGAGCGTACCGAATGATCGAGCAAGACGGTGGAACAAGTATTTCTAGTGTTTGGATTTTAAGTGCATGTGCGAAACGTTGTGTGCCAGTGCCGTTTGGAATTCCGATACGTGGACCACGGATTTTTTCTGTTCTAAACACACATGTACTGGAATTTCACCGGGCCCTTCCTATCAGCCAGACGAGGTTTTACTTACATTTATAACTGTGAGATGTTCTTCCCTTAAGTTCTCGGTTTTTCTGTTTTTTTTTTAAATCAAGCATAATTTCTTTCCTGTACGGCATAAAATTTCAGTACTTATTTTCTTTTCTTTTATGATTCGATACAAAGATCAGATATTCTGGTAGCTTTTTTTATACTGGTTTAATCTTCGTATACATATATGTAGAATCTATCAGTTTGTATGTGAATAAACGAAGTGTGTGGTTACTCTCTCCTGGTACACTTTGTTTCTTCGGTTTCGAGTCAAATCAAAGGACATCAAGTAACGATTCTTTTCGATAATTATTTGTCGTTTTTATTTGGTTTTCCAAAGTAATCATTCATTTTTCCGTAAGCAAAATAAATTGTACTGTTCAATTTTATCTTTCTAGTTATTTTGAACCTGTAGCGAATAACTCGAGTCATCCTGTTGAACGATCCGGAAATTGCAGTGCTCCCTTGGTTAGTTTCTGAATGCATTTTCTCACAGTTGTGTTCTTGACGTCGGCCGAGGGTGACTCGGTTCATTGGAATTCGTTTCCCGCTGACAACGTGCTGTAGTGATTTTTCGAAGTGGAACGAGATTCCTTTTTTTTTGTCTTTCCCCGTAGTCCCCCCTCCCTCTCTCTCTCTCTCTCTCTCTCTCT